CTAAATGAAAGAGGTCAGACCCAAAAGGATATAAATCCATTAATATGACATTTTGGAAAATAAAAATTATAGATATGGAAAACATCAGTGGCTGGCAAGCTGAAACGTGGGGTAAAGGGTTGACTATAAAGGAAAAGCATGATGGGATTTTGAGGGTGAGGAGACTGTTCTATATACGACTGTGATGGGAGATATAAGACTAATAATTTGTCAAAACCCACAGAACCGTACACCACAGAAAGTGAATTGTACTGTATGTAAATTAAATAATATCAACCAGGATGTAGGCAGAATACAAGATGGAGTGCAGACTGTGATGCATGAATCCAACTGTATTACAAATAAATCAAATAACCACACTGAAGCAGATGAAGAAAGGAGTATTGTAAGTAACTTTGGGAAACAGTGTTTTGACTGGGCACCATAAGGCTAAAGACAGAAAGAACTGTACCTAAGCAATATACCATAAAACTGCTTTATGTGTGCACCAGGGTTGAACAAACATGCAGATACACTGAAGATAATGAGAGCCAGGTTTCCTACAGTCACAGAAAGAAGTTAAAAGCATGCAAAGGGCAAAGGCTAGAACACACTGTGGTGCTGGATTTGAGTGGGAGTATTCATATGAACTCATGTCTTGTTTATTTGTATATATATATTTAAGATATATATACAGAAATATAGATATGAATGATATGCATGGGTTGGTACTTATACATATAAGTATATTTCCTATCTCAATTTCTGAGAGGAACTAGCAGCAGTGATACCCTAGAATTCAGATTTTAGACATGATTTGTTAATAAAAAGGAACAGGGTTCCTTGGACAAGTGGTTAAATCTGGGGTTGAGCAGGGAAAATGCAAGATAAGCCTAAAAATCTTGCAGTGACAGAAAGTAAGGAAGTGCTTAAAAAAAACAAACAAAAAAACATGGGATACAACAGCTTCTTGATGGTCTCTGAATGGCCAAAGCTGGAACAATTTGAGCAATAAACTAATGATTGTATTAAATTATAACCCAAAGAACAAAATAAACATCCATAGCCCATACCAATATAAATGAATAATTGAATACTTAAATAAATGGGAGATGTACAGCATCATATCTGCCTTCTGTCAACCCCCTCACTCACCAAACACATGTGTTTATAACAAAATTCAAATAATACATAAATAAATAAATGGGAGAAAACATAACTTCTTTTTACAAAAGAAGTTCAATGAATAAATAAAGAAAATAGGAAGCAATAAAATTAGCACACCATGATCACTGTTGCTGGCAAGATAAATCAGTGGGTGAAAGTTTAAGGAGAAACAGGATATTTGCTTAAATGCCCACATAACACCACCTGTATCACCTTATTTGCTTTTATAAATGGATGGTGTTACATTGTGTGTCCACTCATGTATTTCTCATAGTTATAACCTGAATTTTCTGTCTTGACCCACCGTCGTCAGAATTGAGTGGCGAATGGGTAGGAGATGGAATCAAGTTGAAAGGCACGGACTTTGAAGATAGATACAGCCAAGTCCAAAGAACAGTTCTGTCACTTACTGGCTGTATGGCTCTAGGCAAATTACTTAACTTCCCCAAACCTCAGTTGTCTCAACAGTAAAATGGGAATATAACTATTCCATCTTAAGGTTACAGCTAGAATCAAGTGAGGCAATAGATCATACAGATTCAATAGATGATATACACTGTTATTGTTATTATCCAATCAAAAATTTCAGAAATATCAGACAGTTGAACTGAGTGAGACAATTTAGAGAACACTCATGTTTCTTCCTAAGTATGTATTATCCTATTAAGACCAAAAGAATAATCTTAGGAAATATAAAATAGAGCTACAGCAACATCATCATAACTTTGACCTTATTCTTGTTTGGTCAGTAGAACAATGTGAATCTTGCACAAAATGTAGTTGGTGTACCTAAGTGCCAGAGATATTACAAGAAGCATTATTACTGGAGGCTGATTCAACTAATAGATATATCGTCACAGCCCTGGGCAGATTCACCAGTTTATTAGAAAGTCAGAGACTCCTATGAATTCTAACCTCTACACCCAGAACTAATACTTACCAAAATGTCTGGACTATCCACATATGGCGAGAAACCGGTTAGTGAATTTGCCATTCTCATTTCTCATTGTCTCTATAAGATTTGACAACTAAATTTTTTGTATTTGCATTTCTTTATCCACAGAATACTTTTTCAACTCCAAGGGGAAATGGTTGTAGATAACTTTGCTGTCATTTGTGTATTTGCAATGTCAAATCATTGCCAGCTCTGAAAGAAAGCAGATGTCTTTTCCTGGCCTCCAAACAGAATATATAAATAGTTAAGGGAATGAGACACAGCTTCTGTTGGTAGAAGTGTTCGAAATGTATTAATTATTAGTTCATTCACTTAACAAGGATTTACTAAGCTTCTACTGTGTGCCAGACATTGTGTTTGGTGTTGACAATAAAAAGATCAAAATAAAATAAAAAAAAACTTCTGTCCTCAAATAGCCTACAGTCTAATTAAGAGGAGATCAGACATACTGACATTTTTAAGGCAGTGCAATAAGTACTCTGGGAGGGAATAGGATGGCTTTACAGAGGTCCGATTTCTGTTGAGTTCACCAGACTGACAAGAGGAAGGGCACGTCTGGCAGAGGACACAGAGCCCGTAAGCACAAAGACATGCCAGGAGGCTTGAATTCAAGGTTCCTTTGTGGGACCAGGTGCAGTTGAGGCTGGTGAATTAGGTTGAAGCCATTAGCAGTTTTGGCTTCAACCTGTTCAATGGAAAACTACTAGTTCAAAGGTGGAGGGGGGACGTTTCAATGTGTTTTAAGCAAGGGACTGATAATCAGATTTAATTTTTAAAAAGATCATTTTAGTAGTTATATGAAGTATGTATTGGGAAGGGTGATTGGAAAACCAACTAGATGGCTATATGGTATTGTAGGGAGAAAGAATGTGGTCCTCATGGAATCCATGGCTGAAAAGATCTTATTTTTTGAATGGAGTCAACAAGTACAAAAAGTATTTATCAATTGAAAATCAAGAGGGAAATCAGGAAAAAAGCGGGCACTTAAAACAATAAAACAGACCTTTAATATAAAAATTTTTGGGGTATCCAGACTGGTTCTCTAGCAGATTAATTAGTTTATTGAAGACTTATGATTGTTTTCGCTAACACTGTAATTGCTTAAGTTCTTATATGGTTTGCTGAACGGCAGAGAAAAAGAAATGAAAGACACTTAAACATAATCAGTTTGGCTCTCTGACTGCTGCTTAATATGGAGATTCAAGGAGAAGGTGAAAACTCCAATTACCTTAAAGTGTTTGGATTATCTGTGGAGTGCACACACATACATATTCCTCATCTCTGCAGATAAAGTAGAGGTCATTGCAAGAGAAAATGTACATACTGAGAGAATAACTCTGCAATGGCACTCTAAAAAAATTCTCCCACTTTTCATATTAAAGGCTTTATTTGGTCCCTTCCTCTGAATAATGTATATGGTGTTGGGTTCTCTTTCACCAGATGGGCTCCCAGTTTGATGAATATGCCTTAGAGCTGTAGTTTGATGGACATTCCATCTTACGTTGAGGCTCAGCTATCAGAAGAAAAAGAATAATCAGGTCAGTTCTGTCAGCCACTTGCTAAGCAAATGAGGACTCGCGGAGCTGACTGCATTCATCTGAGGGCTGAAGCTATCCTCAGCTCTGCGTAGGGGTTGTCCTGGCGGTGGTAACAGGTGTTCTGTTCAGCGAATTAAACCCAACGACGTTGTCTTTTCACTGTAGAAGCCTTCTTGTTAAGTGTGAAGTCTGTCTTACAGCAGAACTAAGAAACGACTGCAGCTTGGTTTTCAATACTCTTTCTCGTTTCTCAGCTACTTACAGTCAAATTCAGAAATACCTATTCGCTTACAAGACAAGAAATGAATTATACGGAAGAGACAACACGAGAGTGCAGATTCCACGTTTTACCCTCCCTCTGGCCATCACCTCCAGGATGAAGAGGGGCTTGGGTTGTGGTTGTTGTTGTTTTTCCGCACCCGAGGACATTTTCCCCTTTTTTGTTCAGATAGAGTGGGAGGGAGAGAGAGAAACATAGATGTGAAAGGGACACATCGAGTGGTTGCCACCTGCATGACCCAACAAGGACTGGGGACAAACTGCGCCCCCAGCGGGAACCAACCCCGGTCTCTCTGGACCGCAGGCCAACGCTCTAACCGGCCAGGTCGGGGCTTGGTTTTTCTTTCACGAGAAGAATATGTGAACTCTGTATTTCGACCAATTTTTTTTTAACCCTCACCAGAGGATATTTTTCCATTTATCTTCAGAGAGAATGTGAGGGAGAGAGAAACATCGATGTGTCACATCAACTGGCTGCCTCCAGCACCACCCGTCCAGGGCCACCGCAACCGAGGCACATGCCCTTGACCGGAAAGGAACCCACCACTCTTTGGTCTGCAGGCCGTCGCCCCTACCGCTGAGCCAAACCCACCAGGGCTCTATCCCTTTTAATGCTCATTAACTAAATTTGTTATTTTCCCGTTCAGCGGTTATTTGATTCTTTAGTCCGAAAACGAAAGCATTTTCTAATCTTGGACTCTCACCCACTGCATGGTATGTGTTTGCCAAATTACCCAAACGCGGGACGTTCACAGGGACAAGATCAGCAACTTCATCAGAAGGGGCCAGCCCGGACCTCCGGGAGTGAGCGAGAGGAAACTACATATCCCGGCGTGCCCCGCTTGCGAGCACAATGGAGCCGTGTCGTCACCCGGGTCACGGGGCCGCGCGTTCCGTGCGCGCCGCTGGATTCCGGTCTGGATCCCGCCCCGGGCGGAGGGCCCTCCTGGGCCGGGAAAACTGCAATTCCCGGCATGCCCTGCCGCGAGTGCGCCTGCCCACGGGAGATATCGCGCCGGGGAGCGGGTTGGTTTAAAACGCTGTGTTAGTTCTATGGAAACCGGCCCTCCTGCTGCCGGACAGAGCACAGGCGGACAGATGGACAGTGGGGTGAGGCTGCTGGGCCCTGGGCGGGTTAGCCGGGAACCGAGGTGCGGGGCCGGCGGTTCGGTAGGGCCGCCGTCGCCTCGCCCTGCTGTCCTGTGCCCTCCCCGGCGGAGTGCAGTCTCGCTCTCTGGACCTCAGACCCTGATTTACGGCGCGTTTGCACTGGAAGCCGGTGAAACCGTTTAGGAGCGGAGTTTTTGCATTGGCCTGACTCTAGCCGAAGGAGGGAGGATAGCACTGAGGAGGGCCTCCAGATAAGCCCCCATGCCACCTTTTCTTTATACGTTAGGTGGGAGGTTATAGGTTCCTGGGAAAGCCGTTTCATGGCAATGAATTCTGATTTGGGTCACCTGTGCCGCTCCCTGGCCTGCTTATAAGAATGCAGATGTTAGGAATTTACATTCGTTCATAGCTGTTTCCCCAGTACCTGGTACCCGTTTGTTGACCGCCCACAGTGTCCCATGCTCCGTGGCTAGGCCCTGACGGTAGAAGAGGTTTAAGAATCCGACCCTGTTTTCGAGAAACTTACATTAGTTTGGCTTGAACACCCACATGCAGCTTATGTCCCTGGTTTATTAATCTCGGAGCACCCAAGAATAGGTCCTGGAATCCTTTCTGTTCTCTGTTATCCCTCATGGTTTTACAAGCCTTGTATATAGTGACGACTTCAGAATTTGTATCTACAGACCGCACTTCTTCCCGGAAATCCAGATCTACAAGTACAATCTTAGTGGGCATCTTTCCTGTTTTAAATTCAGTATTTCCAAAACAACTCTACGTATTACTTGTCCACCACCTGTTGCCTGCAAATACTGTGTGTGTTTGGAATGCTGTTGTTGCAAACAGCAGGAAAAAAACGACTAAAACAAAAAACAAAAGTTTCTTTTTCTCAAATAAGCAAAGTTTGGAGGAAAATAATAAGATTAATCAAAGTTTGGAGGAAAATAATAAGATTAATCTGAGCTTCTCTGGCCTTTTCATTGTGGTTCTCAGACACCGGTGATCCCCAGCTCTGTTTACATTTAAGAGGGAGGCACTACGTGGATAACTAAAAAAGAGCCCTCAGAGCTCTCAGTATTCTGGGGGAATAGAAGGGAAGGACAGGTGTTATAATTTCTGACCTATCAGAAAAACAAGTCTGCCCAGAAGCTCCTTGCAAACTTCTGCCTAAACTCTCATTTGCCAGAATCTGTCACGTGGGTGTATTGGCTGCAAGGGAGGCAGGAGACATGAACTTTTCAGCTTCTAGAGAGAAGGCAAAGGAGCCAAGTATGTCTGCCACAAACACCATTAAATACACTTCCCATACTTTGTATTCCCACCCCAACTGGCTTATTTCTAGATTAGTAGTAGCCAGACAGCAGGTGACAGAAAATGGAATGGAGGGTAAACCTACATGGTGTTTCTCCATTGTTATCCCTCCATTTTCTCCCCACGCCATGCTATTGGTAGTTCCCTAACCCTAGTCCTAGTTTCATGGCAGCAGAATTAGCCTGAGGGACTGTCTTAGAGAATCTTCCTTCTGTTAACCTGAGGAACACTGTCCTGCCCCAGGTACTAACATGAGCAGGAGTCTCCAAACCTGCCTTTCTGCAGAAATGTAGATGAGAATACAAATCTTGTGTATCCAGAGACTCACTGACTACATATGCCTTTGTCTTTCCCTTCAGAACAGTTGGGAATTAATAGGAGCTTCTTTACTCTATGTCCTTAAGCTGATTGTTAACAGAATCTCTTAACTAATTCAAGAAGATTATTTGTCAGAAATGCATTCTTTTTTATACAGAAGCACAGAAAGAAATCCTGGTCAGAAGCAATAGAATAAGAGTTAAAAGAAAATGGTGCCCTTTGGTCTACATTACTCTATTCCCCCCTCCCCCCAGTCCTTGTCAACCACAATTCTATTCTCTGTTTCTATGAAATCGAATTTGTTTGTTTCTTTAATCCCACATATGTGATACCACGTAAAGTATTTTTCTTCCTCTAGCTTATTTCATTTAGCATAATACCCTCCAGATTCATCTATGTTATTGCAAATAGCAGGATTTCTTTCTTTTTTCTGGCCAAGTAATATTCCATTGTATGTATGTACTACATCTTTATCCATTCATTTATCCCTTGAAAGACATTTAGGTGTCCCCATATCTTGGCTGCAATGCACATAGGTATACATATATCTCTTCATGATACTGATTTCAGTTCCTTTGGATATCTACCCAGAAGTAGAATTGCTGGATCATATGATAGTTTAATTTTTAACTTATTGAGGAACCTCCATACTGTTCCATGGTGGCTGTACCAATTTACTTTTCCACTAGCAGTGTATAAGTGTTCCCTTTTTCTCCACATCTTCAGCAGTATTTGTTATCTCTCTTTTTTTTATAATAGTCATTTTAATAGGTATGAGATGATATCTCATCATATTTTTTATCATTGTGGTTTTGATTTGCATTTCCCTGATTTGTTGTTGAACACCTTTTCATATACCTATTGGCCATTTATATGTCTTTTTTCAAAAAATATCTGTTAAGTTTTGTTGCCCATCTTTATTTTTTTGAGAGTGGAAGGGAGGGAGAGAAAGAGAGAGAAACACCAGTGTGAGAGAGGCACATTGATTGGTTGCCTACCACATGTGCACTGACCAGGGCCAGGGATCGAACCTAAAACTTCGGTACATGCCCTTGACTGAGAATCGAACCTGTGACCTTTCAGTCCACAGGCCAACACTCTAACCATTGAGCAACACCAGCCAGGACTGTTGACCATTTTTAAATTGGATTTTGTTGTTGAGTTTTATGTAATTTTTATATATTTTGGATTTTAACCCTTTATCAGATATATGGTTTGTGAATATTTTCTCCCATTCAGTAGGTTGCCTTTTCAAATAAATTCTGAGGATGTAAGGTACAGCATGGTGACTGTAATTAATAATATAGTATTGTATGCTTGAAAGTTGCTGAAAATAGATCTTAAGCAGTCTCACCACCCACGCAAAAAAAGTTAACTGTTAACTATTGGAATAGATGGATGTGTTAATTAATTTGATCTTGTTAACCATTCTACAATGTATGTATATGTTTATCAAATTATCATGTTGTATTCTTTAAATATCTATGATTATATTTGTCAATTATTCCTCAGTAAAGTTTTTAAAAAGTAAAAAGAGAGAAATAGGAAGGCCATCCTTTGAGATCTGTGGAGGGAAGATAGAAGGTGATTGAGGGCTATGTCAGAATGAAGAAATGTTCTCAATGGTTGTAGCAGTGTTAATTTGGCAAGAAGCTCAGCCTTTTCATAGCCCCTCACCATGCTTCTTGACTCCTTAAATTCAGTTTTAAAACTTCTTTAATTCCTGCTATGGTTCCTGGGACACCTTCAGTGACAGGCCAGAGGTGGATCTTGCTTCCACTGCCTGGGAGGTAAGGGGAAGGGAGAGACAACATTACACAGTGAGTGGAGGAGAAAGGTGTGCTACTGATATCCTAAGTGGGAACTTGGTGTGCACATCCCCGTAGGAACCCTAATGCTAGTGATGGCGAAGGTTTACTGTCTGGTTAGTATAGAAATGTCTGTACAGGATGCAGTTGCAGGAAAATATCCTTAAGCTTCTACTAACGACCTAGTCATTGAACTTTGGGTACAGGATTCATTTAAATGATGAGACTGCTTGCTTATAAGCTAGTTCTGTTTTTGTCATTAATACCTGAAAAAGTAGTCTCACTACTTTCATGTGGTTTTGGGAGAGGAGTCTGGAAATTTGATGTCAATAGCTCTGAAGAGTCTTTGCTGTGAAGTTAAGTTTACAAATTATTTTTTAAAATCATTTTTTCACTGTAATTGGTAAATCTATTTTATGACAGCTGCTCAGAGGTCCAAACGTAGAATTTTTTCCAGACAGATTGAATTGGGAATATGTTAAAATGAAAATGTCTGGTAATGAAAGAGGTAATAACTCTGACAGCCAAATCATAGGTCCTAATGTATGTCTAAAAGTGGCAGATAGGACAGACTAGATTATGATGCAATAACAAACTACTGTACAATCTCAGTGGCTTATAACAACATTAGTTTATTGCTGTCATACTGGGTGTCATGGACGGGTCATGGTTCTGCTTCATGTCATCTCCACTCTAGGATCTTGGTAGATGAAGCAGGCCCTATATGGGATGCTGTTCATCTCATGTAGAGGGGGGGAAAAGAGATGGTGAATGACAAGTTGGCTCTTAAAGCTTCCATCCACAGTTAATTGGCCAAAGCAAGACACAGGCCTACCTCTGAGCTCAACAGGACAGGGATGGATAGTGCTACCACAGGAAGGGACGGTGGCTATTTTGAAAAAAAATAATAGAACCTATTACACTAATATTGTGATTTTCATCTCAGGTGTGTATGGAAACTGTAATATCCAGACCGGTTGTCTCTCCAACCCACGTCAGTGCTACAGCTTCTGAAACATTCACAGTACTTAAGCAAAGGATGAGAATAGTTGAGGAACAGACCAGTTCTCTGAGGGATGACCTGATAATGTTGGACTTTGGTGGAAAAAGGTAACAAGTGAAAAATGAACTAGATCTCTGTAGGTTGAAGAACTTTGCTTCTCTGGTTATTAATAAGTCACAGGGTAGATTGTTGAGCAGATGAAACAGGAAATTACAAAAAATTGAGAAATAAGTTTCCATTTGAACATTAATAGAAAATGTTTGCAAGGTAGAGTGGTCATCCTGTGATAGAGCTACTGCCACTATTCCCCTAGACGGATGCTTGAAGTGTGTTAATTAGGTGCACAAACTTTGATGTCCTGTTTACCTTCAACACTTGATTTAAAACAAATGTGTAATTTTTTGTGTAATTAGAAAAAAAATTGCTTCTTATTTTTTAAATAAAAAATAGACTTTATTAGTTAAGGTGAACATCTAAACTTGATTCATGCCATTAATATGGTCTTCATTTTCTTTTCCCAGATGTATTGTAAATTAAAAGAGGCCTTAAGTGTTAAAAATTCATAACTTGGGATGAGGTACTCAAAAAAAAAAGAATTGTTTTATCCCCTGTGCTACTAAAGAAATTATTACCATTAAAAGTTGGATTATCGCCCTGGCCGGTTTGGCTCAGTGGTTAGAGCGTTGACCTGTGGTCCAGAGAGACCCAGGTTCGGTTCCCGCTAAGGGCACGTACCTTGATTGCAGGTCATCCCTGGCCCTGGTTGGGTCGTGCAGGAAGCAGCCATTCAATGTGTCCCTTTCACGTTGATGTTTCTCTCTCTCTCTCTCTCCCTCCCACTCTATCTGAACAAAAAATGGAAAATGTCCTTGGGTGAGGATAAAAAAAAAAAAAGTTGGATTATCAATGGCCTGAGAAATTTGGGTGCATAAACAGGCAATATGAAATTTACTGGTGTGATTTTCTTTAAAATTACATACAGGCATACCTTGTTTTATTGTACTTCATAGATAGTGCACTTTTTACAAACTGAAGGCAAGACCCTCCACCAGCAAAAAGATTACAGCTCACTTTATTGCAATACTCGCTTTATTGTTGTGGTCTGGAACCAAGCCTGCAATATCTCTGAGATGTGCCTGTATGTTTCCTGAGTGTCTCTCACAAAGACCTAAAATTAGTGCAGTTGCTATTATAGCACCCATAGAATAAAGAACTCTTCAGCAGTTAAAGATTAAATGTTTACAAATGTTGGAACAAATAGGAACATTTAGTCTGACCTTGTTTAAATATTTTTTAAAAACGTGAATATATTCTTCTGTGCTAACTTTAATTCTTAGTTCACCATTTTAGAATTAGAATTTAACATGTTTTATGTATCACTTGTTTTTACATAAAAAAGTTTATGAAAAATTTTGATTAAAATAAAACAACCATTAAAAAGTTGGTGACTTTTGCCCATCCACATTAGTCTCATCCTTTTTACCTAATAATGCTCTCTCTATTTAAACTTGGAGAGAATAATAGTTGCTTAATAACTAAGAGGGCTAATTTTTTTTCTTAGTAGAAATATTACATTGACTCAATGGGTGGGATTACCATAGTACCCTTTGTATTGCTTAATATTGTTATATTGGGATCTTTGTCCAGAGGCCAATCTGAAACTCCAAAATGTTCAGAAGCGCCTGTGAACTACAGCATCACTAGTCCTATCCAGAATGAAGTAATTTGTTCAGGAAAAACAGATGTTTTATGGAAGAACTGTGAGTTTCTGGTAAATCGAATGTGCCATCTGGAAAGCCTCATCCAGTCCTTGAAGATGAACATCTTTTGTTTGCAAACTGAAAAGGATTTCAATCCACAGAAAACAGGTAGAGAGAAGAGAATCATCAGAAATTTGGCCCTGTATGGATGCTTGATAAGTTTATGATTCTTTCCTGACCTTTCAACTGCTGTCTGACCCTCCTGTGCTGTCTGGTAGCTTTTCTGAAGGATCGACTGAATACCATACAGGAGGAACATTCCAAGGACCTGAAGCTGTTGCATCATGAAGTGATGAATTTGCGCCAGCAACTAAGAGACGTAAAAGAGGAAGAAGACAAGGCACAAGATGAAGTGCAAAGGTTGACTGCCACTCTGGAGATCGCCTCAGAGACAAAGGTTTGAGTCCAGAGTTCTGAAATTCAGATTCACTGTTACGTGTTAGCTGGAGGAGGCAATAGACGCATAAAACTGACTTTTAAAAATAGGTGATGCCCTGGCCGGTTTGGCTCAGCAGTTAGAGCGTTGGCCTGCGGTCCAGAGAGACCCGGGTTCAGTTCCCGCTAAGGGCACGTACCTCGGTTGCAGTTTGTCTCCAGCCCCGGTTGGGGTCCTGTGGGTAGCAACCAGTCGATGTATCTCTCTCACGTCAATGTTTCTCTCTCTCTCTCTTCCCCCTCTCTCCCTCCCACTTGCAATTTTGAAGATAAATGCAAAATTGTCCTTGCCAAAAATGTCCTTGGGTGAGGATAAAAAAAGAAAAAAAAATGGGTGATGTTGATGTGGGGCTTCTTGACATTTGAAAGTTGTCTACATTGATAACTTAAACAATGTGTGCTATTAGTAATTGAATAGTTATAGAGCCCTTACCCTGTACACATGGCTGAGGGTCCAGACATAGGAGGTTGTCTGTGGTCTTGAGCTTATATGCTACCTGGGAGAACAAGGCAGCATGGAAAATGAAACAGTAGATGACATGGAGGGACCTGGAGAGTATTATGCTAAGCAAAACAAGCCAAGCAGAGAAAGACAAGTATCACATGATCTCACTTATTTGTGGAATATAATGAACTAAACAAACTGATGAACAAAATAGACCCAGAGACATAGAAGTAGGGTACAGACTGACAAACCTCAGAAGAGGGGGTGGGGGGAGGAGAGATAAACCACAGAACTTATATGCATGTACGCATAACCAATGAACATAGACAACAAAGCTGAGGACAGGGTAGGGGATGGGATGGGAGGAGGGTGTCATTGGGGGAAAAGGGAGAAACATCTGTAACAAAAATATTTTAATTAAAATAATTTTTAAAAAACAAAAAGAAAGAAAATGAAACAGAAAAAAATAAAAGCATAGAAAATGTTAACAGACAAGTATAGGACACTAAGTGAATACCGAAGAGGATTTAGTGTTTGGATGGGTTTGAGAGAGGGTGCATATCCCCCATCTAGAATAGATTAGAGTAGGCTTCAAGAAAGATAGGAGCTAAACCTTTGGAAGGACACTAGTGAGGTAAAGACGTTTCAAGTTGCACACACACAGACAACAAAGAATAAAGACAAGGAAAATTAACTATTTTGTTTTCCCTCCATGGGCCAGGCAGTATAATAGTTGTTCAACATGTTAATTTTGTTTAATCTTTGCAGAAGCTCTTGATGTAGGATATTATTGTCCCCATTTTAATGATAAGAGTCCTGGGGCCCAGAGAGAAGTCACTTCTCCAAGATCACACTTCCCTGTCTTCTTCCCATAACACAGGTTGGAACCCAGATCTTTCTACTGGGTGCAATTGGGGGGAATGCATAAACTAGCCTGACAGGAGTGAGCATTTGTTTGTGGAAAATAAATTGGAAATTAGCTAAGGATCACATTATAGAGGATCTCAAAATCAAGAATGAATAGTTGGGTTTGATTCTATGGGGTGGTGACTAAAGTTGTTTTTTTTGTTTGTTTGTTTGTTTTAATCCTCACTGGAGGATATTTTTCTGTTTATCTTCAGATAGAGTAGGAGAGAATGAGGGGAGAGAGAGAGAAACATCGATGTGAGAGAGACACATCCACAGGTTGCCTCCTGCACGACCCCCACCAGGGCCAGGGACAAACCGCAACCAAGGTACGTGCCCGGAATCAAACCCGAGACTTACTGGTCAATGGGCCAACACTCTAACCGTTGAGCCAAGCCAAACGGCCAGGGCATAGGGGGAGGAGTGTGATTACAGTTTTTGATAAGACAGTGACATGATGAAAACAGGAAAACTAATCTGGCAGAAGTGTAGAGTACTGATTATAGGGGAAGTCAGTAGGAGAAGAGATAGGAGGCAGGGAAAAGAATTCGGAATCCATTGTGTTATTTGAGGCATGAGTTTTATTCTGATTTAAGGTTGTGGCATTTTAAAAAAGAAAAGGATGTTCTGTGAAGATAGATATGCTAGAATATGGTACTGGGTTGGGGCTGAAGGTAGGAAAGATGATCAAGACGACTTCTGAGGTTACCTATGTGGTGCCATTAACAATAATATAAAAGATAATAAATAGTGAAAACTGTGTTTTAAATCCTTAACTCCTAAGCATGGATCATCTTTGATCCTAGAAGAGATATAGTATTTAAAAAGTAGACCCTAACCGGTTTAGCTCAGCGGTTAGAGCGTTGGCCTGTGGTCCAGAGAGACCCGGGTTCAGTTCCCACTAAGGGCACGTACCTCGGTTGCAGTTTGTCCCCGGCCCTGGTTGGTCGTGCAGGTGGCAGCCACTCGATGTGTCCCTTTCACGTCGATGTTTCTCTCTCTCTTCCTCTCCTTCCCACTATATCTGAACAAAAAATGAAAAAATGTCCTCGAATAAGGATAAAAAACAAACAGAAAAAAATAAAATTAAAATAAAAAGTAGAAATATACCCTATAAGAAAAATGTCTATCAATTACCAGGTTCTCCTCTGATTATTAAATTTTACATAGGAAATGAATGTGACTAATCTCTCTTCATGATCTAAAAAGGAAAATGATAGAAGTCATGAATCAAAGTAATAAAATAACTTAAAATTTTTATCTCCTTAGAATAATGACTTTAGATTCACAGTAAGTATTTATAACCATATTCAGGACAGTATTTACAGGTTGCCAGAAAAAAGTCTAAATAGATGGTTGCTCACTATCATTTCAGATTATTTAGAACCTTTTCTCTTTCTACTTTTAGAAGAACGCAGCCATTATTGAAGAGGAACTGAAGACCACAAAACGTAAAATGAACCTTAAAATTCAGGAGGTAAGATGAAAAGATGCTGGAGGGTGCAGGGGGCATTGGAATTGCAGAAGAGAAGTCAAGAAAGTAGAATGAACAGAAACCTTTGAAGGAGATATGTTACAGTGTAGTAGGAAGAGTTGAAATTTATGCCACCTGAAATTTTGAAAGTGCCTGCCTTTATTACCGCAATACGGCTATAAAACCAGAGCCAGGAGGGAAACAGTTACCACAAAATCCATGTGGTTGCCCATATACTAGAGTAAGTGAGCACCTTCATATAAAGACTTTTAAACTACAGTAGTGTTTAAAATGAAAAGCTTTTAATACGCCTGCTCATCTAATTCTACTGCGAAACCTTCATTTCAGCCTAAGTTTTAGGAGATAACAGATTGGGAATTGTGAAGTAGGTAGCCGCTATAAGTCGTTAGACTAAAATTTGCAGCTGAAAATAGTGAGTCAGAAGAATTACTAATTCAGTATACATAATGGCCTAAAAACCTCAATATTCCCTGACAGAATAATAACTGATGTTAGTCCAAATCTAAAGGGTCACATTGTAGTAAAACTATTCTGTTATATAACACAGAGAAGTAGATAACTCTTTAAGAAAATACTCATGACAAATTATTTTTCAAATTATGAATTTTAGTGTTTAAGGTGGTAAGTGTGGCTATCTGGAAAATTCTCTTATGTACTTTGCCAGTAATTACTGATTAAACCATGCTTCTTCATAGTTGGAATGTATTAATAATCTTAGTACATTTAAAATTTTTTTAGATATTTTCATAGACTGTCTTAGAGAAGTTTTAAGTTTATAGAAGAATTACACAGAAAACAGAGTTCCCATAAATCCTCTCTCCCTATCCCTACAATTATTTATTTATTATTTTGGAGCAGAAACTTTATTTTTTTTAACTTTATTGTTGAATGTATTACAAATGTTCCTCCTTTTTCCCCTATTGACCCCCTCCTGCCTTTACCCACACTGTTGTCTGTGTCTATTGGTTATGTATATATGCATATAAATTCTTTGGTTTATTTCTTCCCATTCCCCACCCCCCTTCCCTTTGAGGTTTGTCAGTCTAACAAGCAATTTGTACTTCTTAATCCCTTCAGTTTTTTTACCCATTCCCCCAAGCCCCCTCCCATCTGGCAACCAACAGAATGTTCTCTGTATCTATGAAAATGTTTCTGTTCTGCTTGTTTATTTTGTTTGTAGATTCAGTTGTCGATAGATATGTATTTATTGCTATTTTGTTTGTTCATATTTTTTATCTTTTTCTTCAAGAAGACTCTTCAACATTTCATATAATAATGGTTTGGTGGTAGTGAACTCCTTTAGCTTTTTCTTGTCTGGGAAACTCTTTATATGACCATCAATTCTAAATGACAGCTTTGTAGGATAGAGTAATATTGGTTGTAGGTTCTTGCCTTTCATCACTCTGAATATTTCTTGCCACTCCCTTCTGGCCTGCAAAGTTTCTTTTGAGAAATCAGCTGACAGTCTTATGGGAGCTCCCTTGTAGGTAACTAACTGCTTTTTTCATGCTGCTTTTAAGATTCTCTCTTTGTCTTGAACCTTTTGCATTTTGATGATGATGTGTCTTGGTGTGGGCCTCTTGGGTTCATCTTGTTTGGGACTCTCTGTGCTTCCTGGACTTGTATGTCTGTTTTCTTCACCAAGTTAGGGAAGTTTTCTGTCATTATTGTTTCATATAGGTTTCCAATTTCTTGTTCTCTTCTCTTCTCCTTCTGGCACCCCCAAGATGCGAATGTTGGCACGCTTGAAGTTGTCCCAGAGGCTCCTTACACTATCCTCTTTTTTTTTTTTTTGGATTTTTTTTTCTTTTTGCCGTTCTGATTGGGTGTTTTTTACTTCCTTATATTCCAAATCAATGTTTTGCTTCTTGGCTTTATCTACTCCACTATTGAATCTGTGTAAATTATTCTTTATTTTAGTTAGTGCCTCCTTCATTTCTGACTGGTCCTTTTTTATGCTCTTGAGGCCCTCCGTAAGTTCATTGAAGTTCTCCCTAAGTTCATTGAGCATCCTTATAAGTAGTGTTTTGAACTCTGCATCTGTTAGGTTGCTTATCTCCATTTCGCTTAGTTCTTTTTCTGGAGTTTTGTTCTGTTCTTTCATTTGAAGCCTGTTTCTTTGTCTCCTCGTTTTGGCTGCCTCCCTGTGTTTGTTTCTATGTATTAGGTAGAGTTGCTATAGAGTCTCCTGTGCTTCCTAGGGTGGCCTATTGTAGTAGGTGTCCTGTAGGGGCCAGTGGCACAGCCTTCCTGATCTCCCAGCTGGGCCCTCGAAGTGCACCCCTCGTGTTGTAATTGAGTCTTGATTGCTGTTGGCACATATTGGGAAGGTTTTAGTCAGGCTGATAAGCTGCAAGGACTGGCTATGCCCACTATCCACTCACCTCTGACTCTCTTGGAGGATCAGCTGTGCAGGGGCCCACCACACAGAGCAAGACTTACTTCAGCAGGGCTTTGGTACCCACTGAGTCCATTCATTGAGTGTGTCACTTGTGGAGTTGGTAGGGTGGTGGTGCTTCACAGTGTTCTGAAGCTGTCCACTGGTTGTGCTGGCTCTGGGGCAAGGTCAGCCACTGCCTGTGTTCTACCCCGGCCACCAGGCATAAGCTACAAAATGATCTGCAGATGGCTACTGCTTATGCTGGGCTTGGAGGTGCCCAGGAAAAGCCAAGTTGTGAACCAAGACTGGTTGCTTCTAGTGCCAGCCCTGGGGTCACTTAACGAGAGGTATGGGGCTAGCTGAGACCGGATGCTGCTTGTTTGAAAGAATTTGGATCCTGATGCAGGATCCAAGACAGGCCAATCCTATGGTAAAGCAACTGGCAACAGCTTGGGTGGGCCTGAAATTTGGGTGGGGCAGGGCCTCAGGGAATCACCAGGGCGTGGGGCAAACAGTGTGAGCCAAGCTGCTGCAGTCCCAAATATGGCAGCTATCTGCCATCCCAGGGAAGGGCTCACCAAAGGATCAAAGGCCTCTGACAGCACTTTTGTCCAGGAGAAAGCTGCCTCTCCGGCCCTTGCTCCAATGCCAAACAACTCAGTTCTTCCCCATATGTCTCTGGTGCCTTTCAGGCTGCCTCCCCCATGATTGAGCCTGGAGGGTGCGAGTCTGAGTAAGGTCTGATTAAGGTCGTGCACGGGCCCTCTAAGAGGAGCTGCCTCAGGCTCCAGCAGCCTCAACCTCCCTCAGCCTCAGTTCCCATTGGTGTTTACAGCCAGAAGTTATGGGGACTTCTCTCCTGGCACTGGATCCCTGAGCTGGGTGCCTGGTGTGGGACGGGGACCCCACAGTCCTCAGGAAGGACCTTCCCAGCCGAGGTGTCGTCCTGATTTTTATCTGCCAAACGTGGGTGTGGGACCAGCCTGTCCGCCTCCGCCCCTCCTACCAGTCTCGATGTGGCTGCTGCTTTAATTCCGTAGTTGTAGGACTTCCATTCAGCTTGATTTCAGGCGGTTCTGAATGATGGTGGTTCTGTAGTTTAGTTGTAACTTTGATGTCTCCCTACAAGTATTAATGTATCGCATTAATGTGGCACGTTTGTTACATCTGATGAATCAGTATTACTACATCATAATTAACTAAAGTCTATAGTTTATATTAAGATTCACTCTTTGTTCATTGCAGTATCATACAGAATAGTTTCACTGCCCTAAAAATGCTCTATATATTCATCCCTCTGCCCATCTCCTCCTGAGCCCCTGGCAACCACTGATCTTTTCATTGTCTCTGTAGTTTTGCTACGGTTGGAATTATACGGTGTGTAGCCTTTTTGGACTGGCTTAGCATATGTATTTAAAGTTTCTCCATGTCTTTTCATGGTTTGAGAACTCATTTTATTGCTAAACATTATTCCCTTTGATGGATATACCATAGTTTGTTTATCCTCACCTATTGAATATCTTGGTTGCTTCTAAGTTTTGGTAATTATGAATAAACATGCATATCTAGGGTTTTTTGTGGACATGTTTTCAACTCATTTGAATAAATACCTGGAAGCACAATTGCTGGATCATATGGTAAACTTATGTTTAGCTTTGCAAGGAGCTGCCAACGTGTCTTACAATGGCTGTATTATTTTGCATTCACAGTAGCAGTGAATAAGTTCCTGTTGCTCCACATCTTCACCAGCATTTGGTGCTGTCAGTGTTTGAATTGTTGCCATTCTAATAGATGTGTAGTGGCATCTTATTTTAACTTTTAATTCCTTATGACATATGATATTGAACATCTTTTTATATGCTATTTGCTGTCTCTATATCTTATTTGGTGAGGTGTCTTAAGTCTTTTGCTCATTTTGTAACTGGGTGGTTTGTTTTCTTATGTTGAGTTTTAAGAGTTTTTTGTATATTTTGGATAATAGTTCTTTATTAAATACAGTGTTTTGCAGATATTTTTCTGCCAGTCTTTGCATTCTTTTAACAGTGTCTGAAGCTTTTGATTTTAATGAAGTTCAACTTAGCAATTTTTTCTTTCAGGGATTGTACTTTTCGTGTTATATCTAAAAAGTCATCACTAAACCCAAGGTCACCAAAATTTTTCTCCTTTGTTATCTTTTAGAGGTTTTATAGCTTTGCATTTTACATTTAGGTCTATGATACATTTTGAATTAATTTTGTGAAAAATGTGAGATCTCTATCTAGATTCTTTGTGTTCCAATACCATTTGTTTAAAAGACTATTGTTGATTGCCATTTATCATTATTTTATTTTTTATTTTTTTATCCTCACCCGAGGACATTTTTCCATTTTTTGTTCAGATAGAGTGAAAGGGAGAGAGAGGAAGAGAGAGAGAGAGTAACATCTACGTGAAAGGGACACATCGAGTGGCTGCCTCCCGTGTGACCCAACCAGGGCCGGGGACAAACTGCAACTGGGGTACATGCCCTTAGCGGGAACCAAACCCGGGTCTCTCTGGACCACAGGCCGATGCTCTAACCGCTGAGCCAAACCGGCCAGGGCTATCATTATTTTTTAATTGGGAAAGTCCTAATTCTGAGTGCTGTGATAAATTCTTAAATTTTCATTGCACTCTGTCAAGGACCTGCAGAAGGACTGTCCTAGTCAAAAGGCATTTTGAAAGTATTGGAATAGGAAGGATGTATTAGTTTTCTAGGGCTGCCATAACATAATACCACAGACTGGATGTCTTAAACAATAAACATATTTCTCATATTTCTGGAGGTTTGAAGTCCAAGATCAAGGTGTTAATAGGTTTGGTTTCTCCTGGGGCCTCTTGGCTTGCAGATGCCTGCCTTCTCTGTGTCCTCATGTGGTCTTTCTTTGTGCAGGCCCAGCCCTGGTGTCTCCTTGTGTGTCCCATTCCCTTCCCTTATGAGGACACCAGTAAGATTGGATCAGGGCCGAGCCTCATTATAACTTAATCACCTCCTTAAAGGCCCTACCTTACAAATACAGTCACATTTTTAATTACTAGGGGTTAGGACTTCAAAATATTAATTTGAGGGAACACAATTTAGCCCATAATAGAAGGCTACACAAAGAATAAATGTAGCATATATTTTCCTGAGATAAGAAATATATATATAATATCTGGGGGTGATGAACTTAAAACAGGTTAATTGACTACCTTTAATAGTGGTTCAGAAATGAATACCTAGGTAACATCATTATCAAATAAAGATTTCCTTTACAAAGTACCTAAATTACACCTTGAGCAAATTATACTATATAACTTGATCCAAAACTTAGAAAAGTATGTTAAGCTATTCTATATTATACAGTAAAAACAATTTGATAGTTTTATTATCAGATTATTATAAAATCTAGCCAAAAACAAAAATTATGGCTCATTCTTAAATAAGACTGTAATGTTTAAGTGATCATTGGGTGAGGAAGGAATTTTTAAACTTGAAAAGAAGGAACAGAATTATAAAAACCTTAATAGATTTGACCATGTAAGAATTAAAATTTTCTACATGTAAAAAACGGCATAAAAACAAAACTAATAAAACATAACAAAACTAGACAAAGCATTAAATATCTTTCATTTTAAAGAACTTTAAATTGACTTGACAAAAAAACAAGCCCTCACCGGTTTGGCTCAGCAGTTAGAGCGTTGGCCCAAGAGTCGCAGGTTCAATTCTGGTCAAGGGGCGTGTACCTCAGTTGCCGCTTGGTCTGTGGCCCTGGTTGGGGTTGTGGGGGAGGCAACCAGTTGATGTGTCTCTTTCACATTGATGTTTTTCTCCCCGCCCCCCTCACACCCTCCCTCTCCCTTCCTCCCACTCTATCTTAAGATAAATGGAGAAATATCCTTGGGTGAGGATTTAAAAACAAAACAGAACCATAAAACCAGTGGCCAAAGAATAAGAACTAAAATTTCAGAAGATATATAAAGAGCTAATGACCATATTGGAAAATGTTTAATCTCACTAGAAACCAAAGGAATGAAAAGGTGTTAGGATGTTATTTTTTATTAGATTTACAAAAATTTAAGAACATGATAATATAGAGTATTGATGGGTTTTATTAAAATCTAACTGATAGTCTAAAATTGGAAGGCAAATTAGAATATGTATCAAAAGTTTAAAAAATGTTTATACCTTTAACCTAGTGAGTCCTCTTGTAGTAATTTATTCTAAGGAAATAATCATAATTGCAATGAAAGATTTATTCACAATCATGTTCTGCAGAATAGTATTTAGAATAATGGAAAACGGGAAATACTTTAATGTTCAATATTATGAGTATGGTTAAGAATATCATAGAGTATTTCCAAAAATGTCTATCTTATAACAGCTCCAAGACAGCACATTTTTCATCTCTTTCAACTTCTTAAAAACTTTTAAAACATGAAACACAGGGGTTGGCAAAAGTAGGTTTATGATTATGAGTACGCAAAAGTTTATTCTTGTGTTATTACTTATTGTATTAACAACTGTAAACCTACTTTTGCCCACTCCTGTATATCACCCATGTGGAACACACATATTAAGTTATAAAGTATTGCTACATCATCTTCACTGGTACTGGAAAACAATTTCTTTTCATTGAACATGACTTCATAAAATGAATAGCATTTTGCATTTCCCATTTTAAGCTGGAAAGGATCTTACCTCATGATAAAAGAGACTCTTCCTTTTATCTCTGACTCATTTTATCGTCATTTATTGAGAGAAATAAGATAGCGGACCCCAATTCTTGAATGTTAGTTTGTCTGCTATTTAAGTTACTTCATATTTGTTTCGACCTTTAAATTTTAAAACAGAATTGAACTAAGCTTTCAGAAGTATGTTTATAAAGCTACAGGATAAAAATATATAGATGAGCCCTGGCCAGTTTGGCTCAGCGGTTAGAGCGTCAGCCTGTGGTCCAGAGAGACCCAGGTTCAGTTCCCACTAAGGACACGTACCTCAGTTGCAGTTTGTCCCTGGCCCTGGTTGGGTTGTGCAGGAGGCAGCCACACTGTGTGTCCCTTTCACGTCGATGTTTCTCTCCCTCTCTCTCTCTCCTACTCTATCCGAACAAAAAATGGAAAAATGTCCCTGGGGGAGGGGGGAGAGAGAGAGAGAGAGAGAGAGATGAGGAAATCAAAATATAGGAAAATAAGGTTTCAAAAACAAATCCAGAAAGAAATATAGAAAATACATATATTAAGGTATAATATTCGTATTTTTCAAACTTTTTTTTCACAACAATCCATTGTAAGACATATATTTATACTGCAACCCTGTATACATGTGTATATATACAGACATTTATGAAGCAGCACTGTTTCTTACTGTGTGCCCTGATATTTGCTTTCTGTTCTTTGTTTTTCCTTTTGCAAGTGCTACTTGCAACTTACTAATGAGTCTTACCTGCAATTTGGGAAACAGACTTACACTATAGGACAAGGGCAACAAATTTGACTGTATTTCTTACAAGGTTACCCATTAGGGAAGAACAAAAGCATGTTTCTGAGTAGTCATAAACTAATGAAGAATGTTTAGGGGTGAGATGGTATGTCTGGCAAACTCTCCACAGTGACTTTGATCTTTGTTAAACTGCTATGATGTTCCCTTGGTCTTGCCTAACTGCAGTGTTGCTCTGTAGCTAAGGAAACAGCTGTCTCAGGAAAAGTACCTAAGGGAGTCTCTTGAGGAATCTGGATCAGCCATGCTACTCAAAATACAAGAAATGGGGTCAACAGTGGAGGCGGAACGAAAACAGGTAGAGAGATTTTTCTGTTGTAATTTATGTTAGGGAAGTGAAACCAAAAGAGGAAAGCTGATAATTTTTCCTATAAACCTATAGTTTTGATAAGTTCCTCTAGATTTATTAAATTATTAACTTTCTTTATATTACCACAATTTAAAATATTTTAGTGCAAAGTAAGAAAGGATCCGATGTCATTCAGTCTGACACTCAATTTATGAATGAGGGAGCTCAGGACCAGAGAGGTTCATTTGCCTCAGGCTTTGGGGAGGTGAATGCTTAGCTCCTGGAACCATGCCTTCCCACACTATATAATCTCTGTTACAGAGATTGATCTTAGAAGGCATTACCCTGGTCTCATACTATATGTATGGGATGTGGGTAGAAAGTAAGGATTAAACTGAGCTAATACTTAAAGCAAAGAAGACCAATAAGTAAAATAATCAGGCGTATGTTTACATGGCCGTTTTCAATTCTCATTATTTCTTTTAATATAATATTTTTTACTTTATCATAGTTGTTATTTGGAGTACCTACCTGTAATTTAGAATATATTCGATTCTAAGTACCCAAGGTGATTAGTAATTTCAAATCCTAATACTTATCATTGGAATTCATAATCTTTATTTTAACCTAATTTTATTTTAACTTATTTAATTAATAACTTAATTATTTAACCCATTATTTTAATGGCTGTCCTTTACAATAGAATTATACAAAGGATTCTTAAGGAGTTTGTAAGTGATCCTTTATTGCTATAACTTACACTGCCAATATAGTAGCCACTGCTCACATATGGCTATTTAAATTAGTTAAAATTAAATAAAATTTAAAATTCCATTTCTCACTCACTCTGGCCACCTTTCAAGAGCTCAGCAGGCACTGTGACTAGTGACTGCCGTGTGGGAGAGAGCACAGCAAGCTCTGTTGGACGCACTGCTGTAAGACGCTGCCCTCTGTTGGGGTCTTTAACTGCCACGTCAAAGACAAACTCCCGTCTTCCTCTGGGGATGTTAAGTCGGAAAATCTGCCTCACACATGTGCTATAAGGTAGTTTATTAGAAATCTTGACCTTACAGAAAAGGAGTTTTTCTTATACAATTTCAGGTGCAAATTTTGCAGCAAAACTGCCTGTCCCTACGCAGTTCTATACAGAACACCCAAGAACTACTGGCACAGGAGCAACGACAAAAAGGAGAGTTGGCGACTGCTATCTCACAGCTCAAGTCTGATCTAAGTATGACAATAGATGCTAGAAACTTCACTTTTGTTAGTGTTTTGAGATTTTGCGCAAAAACTCTTAGGATCCCAAATTCTTGAAGTGGCCAGTGTTACCAGTATTTCCGTGGGCCTGAATGTAAAAAATTGCTGATTTCCTTCCTCTCTGTCTGTGGCACTGAGAAATGAGAATGTTGGTGACCCTCTTAATTGTAAACTATTCTTTTTTTTGTTTGTTTGTTTGTTTGTTTTAATCCTCACCTGAGGACATTTTTCCATTTTTTGTACAGATAGAGTGGGAGGGAGAGAGAGAGAGAAACATCGACGTGAAGGGACACATCGAGTGGCTGCCACCCACACGACCAACCAGGGCCGGGGACAAACTGCAACCGAAGTACGTGCCCTCAGCGGGAACCGAACCCGGGTCTCTCCGGACCGCAGGCCGACGCTCTAACCGCTGAGCCAAACTGGCCAGGGCGTAAACTATTCTTTATATACATATTTTTCAGGTTTACTTAAGTGTTTGTGGACCTGGAAACATTTGGTTTCTAAAAATCTAGATTGAATATTGAATATTAGAATGTTAATAAGGAAATAAGGCCACTAGTCCTTGCTAACCTACTGATTCTCCTGTTTACTATGTCATAGTCACCATTCTTCAAGTTATTTTGATTAACCTATAAGTATAAAAATGAATGTAAGGTACCTTAGAGCTTAGATTAATCTTCTTATCTTACAGATGCATAAACAGAGTCCTTAGAGGTGACAGAGCTAGGAAATGGAAGTCTAGACTTGATCCCTGGTTGCTTAGAGTCAGGCTTCTTTCAACCCATCAGCCCTTATATTACTATTCTTTTTTTTTTTATCCTCACCCGAGAACATTTTTCCATTTTTTGTTCAGCTAGAGCGGGAGGGAGAGAGAGGAAGAGAGAGAGAGAGAGAAACATCGATGTGAAGGGACACATGGAGTGGCTGCCACCCGCACGACCAACCAGGGCCGGGGACAAACTGCAACCGAGGTACGTGCCCTTAGCGGGAACCGAACCCGGGTCTCTCCAGACCGCAGGCCGATGCTCCAACCGCTGAGCCAAACCGGCCAGGGCACTATTCTTAATATGTAGTAGTTTAAAGCAGTTTTAAGTAGTCCCAGTTATAGAGATCACAAAGAGTTACAGTACAGTGCCTCACATATGAATACACTTCATGGTTTACACACAGCTTTTACAGTGACAATCTTGTGTGATATGCAAAATTATTTATGCTTCCCAAAGTTATAGAAGGAATAAATGTTGAAATGAGGCCTGAACCTGGATCTTTTTACTCTGTGCTTAAGTGTGCCTTCTCTGCTCTCTGGCTGTGTAGGGACAGGGAATACCAAAAGGGAAATGAAAATTATAAAAAACATAGAGAGCCCTGGCCGGTTTGGCTCAGCGGTTAGAGCATCGGCCTGTGGAAAAGAGAGTCCTGGGTTCGGTTTCCGCTAGGGGCGCATACCAAAAAACAAACAAAACAAAAAACCACATAGAAAAAAGAGCTATCCATTCAGTATTCGGACTTACTGTTTTTATCAGAAAGGACTCTTTTTCCTTATTGTTGTTCTCACTGATAATGCCCCAAGATAATTTTGTCTTACTATGTTACATTTTATGGTGCTACCATATCATCTCATTTGAGCCTTACAGCAACCTTGTGAGAAAGATAAAATATAAGCCATTCTAAAGAAGAATAAAAAGATCTGCATCTGAGGGCCCACAGTAAAGAAGGATATCTGGGACTAAAACACAGATCTTTCTATGATATTAGTTGTCCTTCTGATTAAGTGATTTTTGAAAATGTTACGTTCTCATTAGATTAATACTTTATTTTTGAGTTTTGTAAAGAATATATGGAAGACCATTAAAAAAATGAAGATTAAAACAACAGTAATTTAAACATAAGGAAAAGGAAGCCTGTCCAAATACCAACTATATGCTTCATATTCTTTACATGCGTGTAATTTTATTACTTTAAGGTATAAATAGTTATGCTAGATTAATAAAATGAATGCCTTTAGATATTTGCTTCAATTAATTTAAAAATATAATTGTTTATTAACAATAAACATATATCCTCCCCCAACACACACACTAATTAAAGTGATTAACTTGTTCTCACAAGTAAAATAAACACTTTCCTTTCATTCTTATTTTGATTTATAAAATTTCCAAAGTAGATCTTATAGTTCATCTTTTTGATCCCTCACATATTTTAAATTAGACTTTACTCATTTGAAATGAGTTTGGATTCATGTTCAAGAAGTAGAAGTTTTCTGTGTGTATCCTACATAAAATGTTAGTTTTTATGTATTTTATAATTATCTGGTTTTAGAATATTTAAGTTGAACAAAACTAATAGATTCCTATGAATTTTATATGAAGCCAAAACATTACTCAAAAAAGTTTACATTTTTTGGTTACTAATGCACAATGCCAAACTATTCCCCCATTTCTGTCCTTGGTTTAATTTTCACTGTACATACTCTGTGTAGTTTCAAGTCTTTTTTCTCCACACAAAATCATCCTTCTGAGCTCAAAATGGACTGTTACTGCCAACTAAACATCTATGTATGGATGCCTTGTAAGTACCTCAAAACACGGTGAAAACTTCAAGTATTACAATTATTCTTGCTCATTCTATCTCCTCAAACTGTCCCTTGCCCTGTATTCCCTATGTAGTCAAAGAGTCTACCCTGCTGCCCAAGTCTGAACACTAGATGTTTTCATTGATTCATCTGTTGCTTTTGTCCCACCAGTCATCCACCAGGTTCTGACAGTTCCCCTGCTTATTTCATGACTTTTCCTCTGCACCCCCATTGTCATCACCTTAGAGCCAGGTCTCATTGTTTTATACTTCGGTTACTGCCACAGCCACTAAACTGATCTCCCTGTCTTTACTGAGCCTGGTACAGCGATCTCTCTGACAAAAACTTCTGATTGTGTGCTCCTCTGGCTTAAAACCTCTCAGAGATTTCTCATCATGTGTAAGGTGTGACCTCATTTACCGTAACATATGGCCTTGGACTAGTTTCTTGATAATTCCCTGACTTAGTTTCAATAAAAATGTGATAGAGATACTTGGGTTCTACTTATTTCTACAAAATGCAGACGGAAGAAAAAAGAAAAAAAGAAAATCAAAGCTTCTCAGGGAAAACATACCATGTGATTTCATTGTAGTTGTACTAAGTTACTGTTACCATAGTTATGAGGACTTTTTGTTTTTAGTTTCTAGAGATGACCTCATTTCCAAGTTGGCTGAAGAAAATAAGGTAAGTTTTGAGGTTCAAGAATACAGAGGTGGTCTTTCCTATCTTCACCAAGTGATATTTTCTCACTCATATTGGTTTATAGTCCTTCTGATTCTTCTAAAATCTTCATTAAAAAAAAGTTTGTGGCCCTGGCTGGTTTGGCTCAGTGGTTAGAGTGTTGGCCTAAGGACCAGAGAGTCACGGGTTCGATTCTGGTCAAGGACACGTGCCTTGGTTGCAATTCGGTCCCCAGCCCTGGTTGGGTCGTGCGGGAGGGAACCAATCGATGTGTCTCTCTCACATCAATGTTTCTCTCTCTTTCTCACCCTCTCCTCCCCCCACTCTGTCTGAAGATAAATGGAAAAAAATATCCTCAGGTGAGGATTTAAAAAAAGTTTGTGTAAGTGAGTTGTGTATTCAGAACTGTTGTCAACCAGGTATTAGGAAAGAAATTAATTCATGCAGTTTTTGTTTGAAAAAGGTGAACTGGCAAAAATAATGAGACTTGTTTGCATTTTATGCCTATTGCAAACTAGTTATTATAAAGAAACTTTTTCATGAAATGTTAGAAATAGTAACTACTGATTTTGGTGGTGATGGTTGCACAGCAATGTGAATGGACTTAATACCACTGAACTTAACACTTAAATGTAAACTTAAATATTTTAAATGACCTGTACACTTAAACATGGTTAAGATGGTCAATTTTATGTTAAATATATTTACCACAATTTAAAAAATGGAAAAATGAAATATCACTACTTTTATATCTTAATATATTTCTTTTTTAAAAAATAGTTTTTAGATTTATTTATTGATATTCGAGAGAGAGGGAGAGAGAGAGAAAGAAACTTTGATTTGTTGTTTCACTTATTTATGCATTCATTGGTTGGTTGGTGTATGTGTCCCAACTGGGGCTTGAACCCACAACCTTGGTGTACAGGGACAACACTCTAACCAACTAAGCTACCAGGCCAGGGCAATACATTTCTAAATCGATCTTAATGTGTAGATACTGTTTGCAGTTTTTTTTGGATTCTTATCTCATCCTGTGTTATGTAATGTTTACTTCTTTTGAGGTGCTTTTCCTGGAAAAAAAGAACAGTGGTTCTCTCTCTGTAGAGGGAGGGCTTCAAATGTCCTTCCCGGTTTGACTTAGTACCTGTTAGGGAAACCAAACCCATAACTCTCATCCCTATCACTTTTCTCTCATCTCAAAGAGAACTAGCTGTTTTTTCCACAGAGCAGAGGTGCTTTCTTCTCCACCCTGAGGTGCTCTTTGATGAAAATACTTCACATACTTACAACTTTAAAAGGTCCTTGAAATTTCTTTGAAATCACAAGATCTTACTGCTAATAGGTTGCAGTTTGTCCCTGGCACTGGTTGGGTTGTGTGGGTGGCAACCACTCGATGTGTCCCTTTCACGTCGATGTCTCTCTCTCTCTCTCTCTCTCTCTTTCTCTCTCTCTCTCTCTCTCTCTCTCCCTCTCTCTCCCTCCCACTCTATCTAAACAAACAAACAAAAAATGGGAAAATGTATATGTAATATAAATTAGCAAATATCTTAGAGAGTAGAATTTTCTTGATATACAGAAACTAGGTAAATATAGTTTTAAGCAAATTCTTTCTAGGTAGAATTCCAATCTGAAAATATATTTGTTGTTATTTTATTAATCCTCGCCTGAGGATAATTTTCCATTGATTTTCAGATAGAGTGGGAGGGAGGAAGGGACGAGGAGAGAACGGAGAGAGAGAAACATTGATGTGAGAGAGACACACTGTTTGGTTGCCTCCCACACAACCCCAACCAGAGCCAGGGACCAAAAACCAAATTGCAACTGAGTTACGTGCCCTTGACCGGAATCAAACCTGCAACTCTTTGATCCATGAGCCAAAATGTCCAAAGCATGAAAATATTTTTAATAAACAGTTTTGATACAAGAGAAGTTTGAGAATTGAAGATATGAAGATTTTTTTAAATTATAAGATATTTATCTATGTATATCATTAGAACATGAACTGGTACTTGCCAAAATACAGAACTTTTTTTTTCTGTTCTGTTGGTATGTATGCCTAATTTTAATGCCAGTTCTGTACTCTTTTGAATACTATAGTTTTGTAGTAAAGTCTGAAATTAGGAAGCATAATTCCGTTGGCTATGTTTTTTTTTTTTAAAATATATTTAAATAATTATCTGCCGCCAAACCCCTACCCTTTGGCACCCAGCAGCTTGTTTTCTATATCTATGGGTATGATTCTGTTTTGTTTATTCATTTATTTTGTGTGGGGTTTTTTTGTTTGCATGTTTGTTTTGTTTTTTTATTCCACATGTAAGTGAGATCATATGGTATTTGTCATTCTCTTTCTGACCTTTATCACTTAGCATAATACGCTCTAGGTCCATCCACATTGTTGCAAAGAAGATTTCATTCTTTTTTTTAAAAATAGCTGAATAATATTTCAGTGTGTGTGTGTACCATATCATTGTCCATCTATTGATGGACATCTAGTTTGCTTCTCTATCTTGATTATTACTGATAATGCTGCAATGAACAGAGTAGTGCATATATGTTTTCTAATTAGTATTTTTGTTTACTTCAGATAAATTCCCAGAAGTGGAATTGCTGGATCATACGGCAGTTCATTTTTTTTTTTGTTTTAATCCTCACCTGAGGACTTTTTTTTCCATTTTTTGTTCAGATAGAGTGGGAGGGAGGGAGAGAGAGGAAAAGAGAGAGAGAGAAACATTGACGTGAAAGGGATACATCGAGTGGCTGCCACCCACACGTCCAACCAGGGCTGGGGACAAACTGCACCCGAGATACACGCCCTTAGAGGGAACCAAATCCGGGTCTCTCTGGACTGCAGGCCCATGCTCCAACTGCTGAGCCAAACCAGCCAGGGCTCATTTTTTTTATTTTTTTAAGGAGCCTCCATACTGTTTTCCATAGTGGCTGCAACAATTTGCATTCCCACCAACAGTACACGAGGCTTCCCTTTTCTGCACATCCTTGACAACACTGGTTATTTGTTGATTTGTTGATGATAGCCATTCTGACAGGAGTGAGGTGATATTTTATTGTGATCTTAATTTGCATTTCTCTGATTAGTGATGTTGAACATATTTCCATATGTCTGTCAGCCATCTGTATGTCCTATTTGAAAGAAATGTCTATTCATGTTCTCTGCCCATTTTTAAAATTGGATTGTTTGCCCTGGCTGGTTTGGCTTAGCGGTTGGAGCGTCGGCCTGCAGTCCAGAGAGACCTGGGTTCGGTTACCGCTAAGCACGTACCTCGGTTGCAGTTTGTCCCCGGCCCTGGTTGGGTCGTGTGGGTGGCAACCACTCGATGTGTCCCTTTCACATCACTGTTTCTCTCTCTCTCTCTCTCCTTCCCACTCTATCTGAACAAAAAAATAAAAATGGAAAAATGTCCTCGGGTAAGGATAAAAAATAAAATAAAATAAAATAGGATTGGGGTTTTTTTGGGGTATTGTAGGAGTTTTGTTTTGTTTTGTTTCCTTTATTGATTTTAGAGAGGAAGTGAGAGGGAGAGAGAAATAGAAACATCGATGAGAGAGAACATTGACCAGCCACCTCCTGCATGCCCCCAACTGGGGATCAAGCCCACAACCTGGGCATGTGTCTTGACCGGGAATTGAACCGGCAACCTCTTGGTGCATGGGTTGATGCTCACCACTGAGCCACATCGGCCGGACTGTAGGAGCTCTCTAAATATTATATTTTGGATATTAACCCGTTATTGGTTGTCATTTGCCAATATCTTCTCCATTCAGGACATTGGTTTTCTATGCTGTGCAAAAACTTTTTAATTTGATATTTTCTTTTCTTTGTTTCCCTTCTTTGAGATTTTTACAAAAAGATATTACTAGTAGCAATCTCAAAGAGTTTACTGCCTATATTTTTCTCTAGGAGTTTTATGGTTTCAGATCTAACATTTAAGTCTTTAACCTATTTTGAGTTTATGTTTGTATTTGGTGTGAGAAAGTGGTCCAATTTCACTTATTTTGCATGTATCTGTTCAGTTTTACCAACACCACCTATTGAAGAGACTGTCCTTACCCATCTTATATCCTTACCTTCTGTCATAGATTAATTGACCATATAAGTGAGGATTTATTTCTGGGCTCTCTATTTCATTGATTTATATATCTGTTCTTAGCTAGTACCATACCATTTTGATTATTGTAGCTTTGTAATATAGTTTGATACCAGGGAACATGATACTGCCCACTTTGTTTTTCCTCAAGATTTTTGTGGCTATTCAGGGTCTTTTGTGGTTCCATATGAATTTTAGAATTAGTTCTAATTTTGAGAAGAATACCATTGGTACTTTAATAGGGTTGCATTAAATCTGTATATTATTTTAGGTAGTAAGGACTTTTAACAATATTAATTCTTCTAATTTATGAGTAAGGTATATCCTAGCATATAGTTGTATCTTCAGTTTCTTTCTTCAATGTCTTATACTTTTCAGAATACAGGTGTTTCACCTCTTTGGTTAAGTTTATTCTTGGTATTTTATACTTTTGATGCAATATTAAATAGGATTGTTTTCTTAATTTCTTTTGATCATTTGTTTTTGGTGTATAGAAAAGCAACAGATTTCTGTATATTGATTCTGTATACTGGAGTCTTTTATTATTTCTAGTAGTGTTTTGGTGGAATCTTTAGGGTTTTCTGTGTATAGTATCATGCCATCTGCAAATAATGAAACTTTTACTTCTTCCTTTCCAATTTGGATGCCTTTTATTTCTTTTTCTTGTCTGACTACTGTGGCTATACTTCCAGTACTTTGTTGAGTAGGAGTAGTGATAGTGGGCATCCTTGCCTTGTTCCTGATCTTAGAGGAAAGGCTTTAAGCTTTTCATCACTGAGTATGATATTAGCTGTGAGTTTATCATATATGGCCTTTATTATGTTGAGGTATATTCCTTCTATACTCAATTTGTTGAGAGTTTTGGTGTTTTTATTTTTATCATAATAGGATGTTGAATTCTGTCATATGCTTTTCCTGCATCTATTCAGGTAATCTCACTATTTTTATCCTTTATTTTGTTAATGTGATGTATTGCATTAATTGATTTTTGGATGTTGGACCATCTTTGTACCCCTGGTGTTAATTCCACTTGGTCATGGTATATAATCCTTATCATGTATTGCTGAGTCTGGTTGGCTAATATTTTGTTGAGATTTTTTGCATCTTTGTTCCTCAAGGCTATTGGCCTGTAGTTTTCTTTTGTTGTCAGTCTGTTTTTTGTATCAGAGTAATGCTGGCTTCATAAATTGAGTTTGGAAGAGTTTCTTCCTCTTCATTTTTGGAACTAGTTTGAGAAGGATAGGTATTAATTCTTCTTTGAATGTTTAGTAGACTTCACCTGTGAAGCCATCTGGTCCTGGACCTGTTGGGATTTTTTTTTTATTTTTATTACTGCTTCAATTTCATTGCTAGTAATCGAGCTGTAGACTTTGTATTTCTTCTTGGTTCAGTCTTGGAAGGTTATATACTTCTAGACATTTATCCATTTATTTTAGATTGTCAAATTTGTTTGGCACTTAATTGTTCATATTCTTTAATGATTCTTTGTATTTCTGTGATGTCAATTGTAACTTTTATTTATGATTTTGTTTATTTGGGCTTTGTCTTTTTCTTGGTCAGTTTGGCTGAAGGTTTGTCCATTTTATTCTTTCAAATAAACTGTTCTTAGTTTTATTGGTCTTTTCTAGTTTTTAAAATTTCTATTTCATTTATCTCTGCTCTGATCTTAACTATTTCCTTTCTTCTGTTCACTGTGGGTTTGTTTGTTCTTTTTCTAGTAACTTTAGCTGTAGCATTATATTTTTCTAATTGAGGTTTTTCTTGTTTCTTGAGGTAGGCCTGTTCAGTTATGAACTTCCCTCTTTGAACTGCTTTTGCTGCATCCCATAAATTTTGGAAAGTTGTGTTTTCATTTTCATTTGTTTCATTTATCTCTTGTTTAATTTTCTCTTTGATTCATTAGTTGTTTAGTTTCTACGTGTGTGTGTGTGTGTGTGTGTGTGTGTGTGTGTGTGTGTTTTAAGTTTTCTTTCTGTGGTTTATGCTACTAGGGTCAGAAAACATGCTTGATATGACTTCTGTTTTGTTTTTTTTTATTTACTGAGGCCTAATAATATGTGATCTATCCTGGAGATGTTCTATGTGCACTTGAAAAAAATGTGTATCTGCCGTTTTTAGATGAAATGTTCTGTAATTGTCTGTTAAGTTTATCTCATCTAATGTAATATTTAAGGCCATTATTTTCTTACTAATTTTTTTGTCTGAATGATCTATCCATTGATGTGAGTGGGGTATTAAAATCCCCTACCATTATCCTATTACTATGGATTTCTCCCTTTACATCCACTAATTGCTTTATATATTTAGGTTTTACTATGTTGGGTGCATAGATATTTACAATTATTATAACTTCTTCTTGGATTGACCCCTTTATAGTCATATAATGTCCTTCTTTGACTTGTTTTACATTTTTGTTTTAAAGTCTATATTTTCTGTTGTAATTAATGCTATTTCAGCTTTCTTTTCATTTCTGTCAACATGGAATGTCTTTTTCCATCTCTTCACTTTCAGTCTGTATATGTCTTTCCATTTGAAGTGAATCTCTTGTAAGCAGCATATAGGTGGATCATGTTTTTTAATCCATTCAGCTATCCTATGTCTTTTTGTTATAGCAAATAATTCATTTACATTTTTAATTAATTAATTTTTGTTACAGATGTTTCTCCTTTTTCCGCCATTGACACCCTCTTCCTGATCCCGCCTCCCCACCCCCACCCCCAGCATTGTTGTTGATGTCCATTGGTTATGCATTTAAGTTTTTTGGTTTATCTCTTACCCCCACGTCCACCTCCTCTGAGGTTTGTCAGTTTACATTTAGAGTAATTATTATTATTGTTGTTAATCCTCAGCTGAGGATATATTTTTCATTGATTTTTAGAGAGAGTGGAAAGGAAGTGAGGGGAAGAGAGAGAGAAACATCAATGTGAGAGAGACACCTTGATTGGTTGCCTCCCACACTTGATCTAACTGGGGCTAAGAGATCGAACCTGCAACCCAAGTATTTGCTCTTGACCGGGAATCGAACCCACAGCCTTTTGGTCAGTGGACCGAGTCTCTAACCATTGAGCAACACTGGCCAGGGCTAGAGTAATTATTGATAAGTATGTATCTATTGCCATTTTGTTAACTGTTTTAAGATTTTTTTAATAGTTTTCCTCTGTTCCTTTCTTCTCTTGATCTCTTCCATGTAATTTGCTGCCTTTGTTTAGTGTTTTGTTTAGGTTCCTTCGTCTTTGTTCTTTGTATATTTTTTGAAGGTTTTTGGTTTGTGGTTACTGTGAGATTTATGTATATCATTTGTTACCTATAGCAGTCTATTTTAATCGGATAGGTATTTTAAGTTCAAATGTATTCTATAAGGACTACGTTTTTACTCCCCCCTCCGTGATTTATTTTTTTGACATCATATTTAAATCTTTTTGTATTGTGTATCTCCTAAGTACTTATTATAGTTTGAGTTGAGTTTGAAACTTTTTCTTGTAACCTTCTTAGTAGCTTTTCAAATGTTTGATTTGCTGTGTTTATTAAATATTTAGCTTTACCTTTGAGGTTTTTCTTTCTCAGGTATTTTTATTTCTGGTTATGGCCTTTCCTTTTCTTCTCAAGAAAGACCCTTGTGAAGCTGGCTTAATGCTGGTAAAGTCGCTTAGTTTTTCTTGTCTGGGGCAGAACAGATATTTAAATAGAGAAGCATGTAATATTATATGTAAAAAAAGAGAGAGAACAATTTTTTTTCTATAGAATGCGCAGATGTCTTTCAACAAGGAACATGAAAAAAATGCATATTTGAGGTCTGAAATAATATCTCTTCATGAAGCATCAGAAAAAGTACAGGTAAGTCTTCTCATTTCTCTAGTTTTTTAGATGTTATTTAATTTTGTTTAAGGAACCAAGATTAATCCTGATTATATAAACTAATACCATTTGCATCATCCAAATTTTAATTTTCATAAGATCTACTTCATCTATGAAATATTATCAAACTGGCTACATTTCTCATTTCACTTTTTGAATTCCTTTGTCACATAAGTATATGAGATATATGGCTAAATCGTGCACTATTTTGCACTTTGTCTATGTTTGCTTTCTAATTTACTCCTTAAATAGTATATACCTTTCTTTCCTCATAAACTTACGAACAGTTCAGTATCAAGGGCTTCATTTTTTTATACTTTATTTGTATGTTCTATAGCAAATAGCACAGTAGGCACCTAATAAATACCTGCTGGATTTTAGAGTTGTATATAACCATTTTCTGTGGGATAGTAGTTCCCAGATTTAACTGGTGCTTTATATATATACATGTATATGGAGAAGAGTCACCAAATATACAGGCAAACAAGTTATTTCTCGTAGGGCTCTGTGAGCGAGTCACTTAAAAGAACTTTTTATTAGGACAATTTGGTTACTTTAATGTTAGGATCATAGCGTTAGGGTCATGTGCTCTCTTTTTTTTAATCCTCACCCGAGGACATTTTTCAACATTTTGTTGAGATAGAGTGGGAGGAAGAGAGAGAGAGAGAAACATCGATGTGAAAGGGACACATCGAGTGGCTGCCACCCACATGACCCAACCAGGGCCGGGGACAAACTGCAACCGAGGTACATGCCCTTAGCTGGAACTGAACCTGGGTCTCTCCGGACCACAGGCCGATGATCTAACCGCTGAGCCAAACTGGCCAGGGCTCATGTGCTCTATTTATGAAAAATACAAAAATGTGTTCTTTTATAAAATAATAACAATAACTAATACTATTGCTATTACTAATAGTAACATTTACTGAACCCATTCTATATTCCAGCCACAATTCTTAGTACCTTATGATACTAACAAATTGTAATCCTCACGATAGCACTATTATAGAAACTAATATTATTCTCATTTTAAAGATAAGAAAGTTGATACAGAGGGAGGTTTAATAACAGCTAATAAATGACAGACAGAGTTGGAATTTGAGCTCAGGCAGTCTGGCTCCAAAGAAAATTAGCTCTTCTTTGTCAAGGAGCAAGAGTTCTCTTATGTCTCACCCCCCAGTGTTCCATGGTGAATAGTCTGTACATCTGATTATAACTTAAAAATGCCCCTGAATATGCCCGGCTGGAGTGGCTCAGTGGTTGAGCATCAACCCATGCACCAAGAGGTCGCTGGTTCAATTCCTAGTGAGGGCACATGCCCAGTTTATGGGCCTGATTTCCAGTGTAGGGGCATGCAGGAGGCAACCAATCAGTGTTCTCTCTCATCAATGTCTCTGTCTCTCTCCCTCTGCCTTCCTCTCTCAAAATCAGTAAAGAAAAATTATTAAAAATAAATAAATAGCCCTGATCAGTTTGGCTCAGAGTTTAGAGCGTCAGCCCACGGACCAGAGAGACCCGGGTTCAGTTCCTGCTAAGGGCACGTACTTCGGTTGCAGTTTGTCCCCGGCCCTGGTTGGGTTGTGTGGGTGGCAACCAGTTGATGTGTCTCTCTCACACCGATATTTTTTCTCTCTCTCTCTCTCTTCCCCCCTCTCTCCCTCCCGGTCTATCTGAAGATAAATACAAAAATGTCCTCAGGTGAGGATAAATAAATAAATAATAAAATAAAATGCCCCTGAATGTGTTCCTAACATACCGCTTATAATACTTTTCAGGTAGTCTTTCATTTATCTTTCCTTTTTTGTTACCATTTTTGTGTGTTTTTTCCTATTGATCCTTCAGTTATTTGCCCCATCCTTGAAGAACTTGTTCATTAAAACAATTATTTGCCAAATATACTTTGCAAAAATAACTCATAATTAAGATAAATATTTTCCACAGGAGTACAAATTTCAAAATGGCAAAAGCACAAGAGAAGTATAAACTAACTACATGTCTGGTAGATCTTTTGCACAGAAGATTTTTGTTTTATTTTGGAGGATTAATCTTGTGGAATGACACAGTCATCTGTATTTTTCTGAATACATAACTGGTGATGAAGGAGCTTAAATATTATATGTTATTAGCTAAACAATTCTGAATGCTCATCCAGTTTTGTGAATGAATTTCTGTAACATTGGCCAGGCTTCTACCTTATAAATTCCATTTTTTACATGCCTTGCTCTATTTGACCTGTGTTCAAAATTGTAAAAAATAGATCAGTAAACTATCAAATGCTTCAGTTGCTCCACCAGATCAACAAATTTCTCCTTTAATTTAGAATTATTTAAGATGTTGATGCCTAATATTTGAAAGTATTTTATAATCTAATGAAATATCAATTGGGAATAGGTTAAATAACTTCAGTTTATATATTTAGTGAAATACTTGCAATCATAAAAAATAATGATACATAGTAAAAAGAATTATTTGTTGGAGAGGTCTATGACTTGCTGTGTATGTTATCTTAGGGTTTGAGTGGCCAACTGACTAGAATGTGGTCAGAGCTGAACAGCATGTTTCAGACTAGTAGTAGGGAAAATGCCAAAATTATTGCTGACCATTAAGCCATTCTGCAGTGTTTTGTTTTGTTTTGTTTTTATTAACACCAAGCAATTTCTGATAGAGTCAGTAGGAAACCTCCTTGCTAAGAGATCAGGAAATGTACATGGCCAACTGGATGAATAAAATATTTTAACAATAATTCCAAGAAATTTACTGAATTTTTTTTTTTTTTTTTTTTTTTAGTGGTTTTCAGTTTTCACCAGAGGGGGTCACTTGGCCTTATACTCAGTGCTTTCATAATTATTTCTTTCAAATATCATTACCTCATGAAAAGTAATTACTTGCCCCATTATTTATAGAATCATGGAGAACACTTGTGAATGACCCTAAATTACTTACCTTTCCTCAAACACCTGTGCTTTTCCACTGTGCTTATGCTGTTCCTTCAGCTGAAAATGGACTTGATATCATCTTCGACTCTGAATAATATTCATTCTTTAAGATTCACTTTCATCAGGAACCTTGATCAATCAGCAGGGATCAGTTTTCTCTTACAACTTGTACTCCTGGGACACCAAATAGACTAGTAATAATAGCTCTAATCTTTTTGGAGTATACTAACCACATACCAAGCATTGTGCTAAAGATTTCACATATATTACCTCCTTTAATACTATGCTTCCTCTGTTTCTGCATTTCATAGTAGTGATTTACATGCATAGCTCATTTTCTGTATAACATTGTTTTATAGAAGAAAGGACATTGTCTTACATGTCTTTATTATTTCCCACAGTGCTAAGCATATTTTGTACACAATAGGTACTCAAATTATTTTCATTAATTCAACAAACATCTGGTGTTTACTCTGTATAGTTACCGTGCTGGGTCTAGATAGGATTATAGTGGTGAACAAGACAAAATCCCTACTTTCATGGAACTTAAAATTTAGAAGACTGAATAATGTCACATATGTACGTAACACTGTCACAAACATTTTAAAACTCTGGAACATTACACAAGTGGGATTCTATTTTACCAAGTGTGAAGGTATGAAGTTTTGCTTTGCAATCAAATAGGTGTTTTAAAATGTGTTTTCAAAAGTAATTGTTATAAAAGTAATTGTTAATATGTACTGTATTTGCAAAAGCTTTATAAATTATATGTAGAGAGGGTATATGTAAAAATGTTATGTTTTGATCATTCCAAAGTGGTGAGCCGGAGAAGATAAACTGTGCAAAAACAATTATAGTAACAGTGTCTGAGTGCAATGTTAGATATTCTCAAAATAATTCACATCAAACTATTAAACGTGATTGTTCCTAGAGAGTTAGGGGATGTGATAGCCATGGAGTGGCTTTTCACTTTATGTAATTGATACAGTTTTACTTTAAAAAATAAAGTATGTATTATTTGAAATTTTTTTTTTGATCCTCACCCAAGAATATTTTTACATTTATCTTTAGACAGAGTGGGAGGGGGAGGGGGAGACAGAGAAACATCGATGTGAGAGAGACACATCAATTGGTTGCCACCTGCATGACCCTAACTGGGGCCGGGGACAAACTGCAGCCAAGGTATGTGCCCTTGGCCAGATTCGAACCTGGGACTCTGGTCTGCGGGCCAACACTCTAACCACTGAGCCAAACCGGCAGGGCTTATATTGAAATTTTAAAGTACCAAAATTATTCTTAATATAAATGTTACATCTAAAAATATGTTCCTTTTAGAAGTTTTATGAATTTTGCAACCAGCTGGTAAATAATGAGTCTTTATTTTTGGTTAGTAGAGCTATAAAATGATAGAATTGGATCAAGTTAGGGTGGGAACAAAGAAGGGCATTAAAAAAACTTTTAAAGAGGATTTATATATATGCATATATATGTGTGTGTGTGTGTATAATTTCTTTCTAAGCTAATTCAGTATCTTTGATCAGTTATGAATGAAACCCTTGATGGAATCGAACCCAAGACCTTCAGTCTGAGGACCAATGCTCTAACTGCTGAGCCATACTGGCCAGGGCTGGAATCTCAGCTTTTATTTTTTAATATAATTTGAAATTTTTCCTTATTGATTTTAGAGAGAGAGGAAGGGAGGAGAGAGAGAAACATTGATGAGAGAGAACATTGATTGGCTGCCTCCTGCATGCCCCCCACCAGGGGTTTGGCCCACAATCTGGGCATGTGCCCTAATTGGGAATCGAACCAGTGACCTCTTGGTGCATGGGTCGATGCTCAACCACTGAACCACATCAGCCAGGCTGGAATCTCAGCTTTTAATATTACGTCTAACACTCAGGTAGAGCAGAAAAGGATGACACAGACATTTCAAGAACAAAACTTACTACTGGATGCAGCCCATGCCAGTATCACAAGTGAGCTGCAGAATGTTCAAAATGAGAAAATTCAACTCCAAACACATCTGTAAGTAAATTATGGGCAACTTCTTATGCATCTTGTGTTCTTGCATTTGTATTTCTTATCTTTAGTGAAAATTAATTCTGCATTTTCTGGGCCAGCCACAAAAAAACTGCCCTCAACTAAAAAAGCTGTGGTACATATACACAATGGAGTACTATGCAGCTGTAAGAAAGAAAGATCTCTTATTCTTTGAGATGACATGGAGGGACCTGGAAACTATTACCCTAAGCGAAACAAGCCAAACAGAGAAAGACAAATATCATATGATCTCACTTATTTGTGGAATATAATGAGTGTAACAGTCTGAGTAATGGGGTAGTCCCAGAGACATGGAAGTGGTGTACAGACTGACATTCGTCAGAAGGGGTGGGGGTAGGGGGGGATAAACCACAGAACTTATATGCATGTATGCATGAACAATGGACATGGACAACAAAGCTGGGGACAGGGTGGGAAGGGAGGGAGAGGGGTGAATCAGTGGGGGGAAAAGGAGAAACATCTATAACAAAAATAAATAAATTAATTAATTTGAAAAAATAAAAAGACTGTCCTCAAGGAACTTGTTTTGGTAGAACATTGTGATAACTGCTCTCAGGCAAGAGATATGTTCTATAAGATCATTTCATCTTTCTGTTAAAGAACTCCCACGTAGCTTTTGTATCTCCTTGGTCATTTCCTGTAGGGATCATTTAATCCTTGAGCATAATCAGTGTGTCCAGAAGGCACAGGATGCCGAGAAGAGGACAGCAGTGCAAAAAGAGCTGCTAGAATCAACCATTGCAAGATTGCGAGGTGAACTGGAAGCATCATTGCAAGAGAAGACATCACTGCTAGAAGAGAAAGAAAGACTTCAGAAAGAGGTAGGTACAGGCAGTTTTATGTTTGCTCCTGATTATGGTGGTCGTCTTGTTTTAAAATTGTATTTTAAGTGCAAAAGCCAAGAAATAAATTCAGATACAGTATGTCAGAGTTGCCCATTAAAGAAAACTTTAGGTAGCTAATCTATGTCTTTTAGCACGTGAAATAGTCTGTGCCAAATAGTGTACACCCATATTTATACAGCATTAGTGAATGTTAGCTAATAGTTCACACACATCCTCGTGTTAATATAGGGGCTTGATTTACAAAATTGATTTCCCCTGAAAGAGTGAAATAATGTAGGTTAAGGGAGAATGGCCCAGTCTTCCTAGTTAGGAAGGAACTTAGCAGAGTCTGACATGCAGACGTGTCTTTCTAATTTCAGGGCTATTTGTGAAGTCTGCTTTGCTTCAGAGACTCCCTGAGTGGCCCCTTTTCTGAGAGGATGTGCTATCTCTGCAGTGTAGGTATTAATTGACATGCAGGGTATGTCTGCTATAGTAGAGCTTGTCAGCTGCTTTAACATTGACCCATTTCTTTCTTTTCCCCTTTGGGCAGGTTAATAAAGCAGAGAAAGAAATAGCACAAGAAAAGTGCAATTTGGAAAAAGAATTAGCTAAAAACAAGGTATTCCACATTTTACTGCACTATATTTCATTTTCTTCTGTGTCATTGTCTTCTGTATCAGCCTATCTTAGTGACGAGATGGGTTATTTTGTTGCATACCAAGGTGTGGGGGAATAGAGAAGCCAAGAAGCTGGATGCAACTCAGAGCACTCCAGTCTGCAGCATAAGCCTGCTTATGGGGAAGGATCTGGTGTTTGCCAGTGAATCATCATGCCTCTGGCCCTTCTGTTTAGCCAGGAAGTCCCCTGAGAGTGAGCTAATGGGCATGTGGGCAGCAAAGGGACCATTGCTGACAATGCTGTTTTTTTGTTTGTTTTTTTAAACCTGACTTAGGCTTCCTAAGTACCTTTAGCACCTGCCACTTTATCTGCTGGGTACCCTTAGCATGGCCAGAGAAACAAATACAATTCTTATTAAAGTAAAACAAAAAATAATATTTAAACATTACCGCTTACATTTCAAAATTTGAAGAGAGTTAGGATTATGTATCACCGTTAGCTAGAAAATATATCTAGAGCATCAAAAATTAGCCTATCCCAAACAGTCCAGCAACAGGTGTCAATATAGACATCAGGCCTTGACTGTTCCTTGGCTTCTGGCTGAACTAAATAGCACTTGTATCACCATATATTAACTTTTAATTTAAAAATTGGGAACAAGAGAAAAGCTAAATTCTTAGCCCAAGCTCAAATACCATTCACCAAGCTGGCAGGTGCCACCTGTGGGTTAGTCACTCATATTGAGTAAATTGAAAATAGTCCACTGTCAAAAATCGTTAAATGAAACTAACTTCTAATGGTAAGGACTTTGTTGGTGTCAATTTGGCCTCAAATCTGCTTTTTAAATTTTAGAAAATTGATAGCTACTATTAAATTCATTAATGCTTTTTTAAAATAATTTTTGGGTTTTGTTTTTAAATATTCTGTTCAGACCACAGAATCCTGTTGTTGTTGTTTTTTTTTCTCTATTGATTTTTTTAGAGAGAGGAAGGGAGAGGGAGAGAGAGATAGAAACATCCATAAGAGAGCACATCGATCAGCTGCCTCCTGCATGCCCCCCACTGGGGATCGGGCCACAACCTGGGCATGTGCCCTGACTGGGAATTGAATCTGTGGCCTCTTGGTGCATGGGTCGAGGCTCAACCACTGAGCCAACCAGCTGGGCTCATTAATGCTTTTTCTTACAAGTGTTAGTGAATATGGAGGATGTCAGTGGGGAAAAAGGAGAAACATCTGTAACAAAGATAAATAAATTTTTTTAAATGTTAGTGAATGTTAGGCTAAGGCAAATGTTGTATGTCTGTGGTTTAAACACAACATTATTTGTCTGATTTCAGTTGTCTTAATGCAGGGTAAGTGTAAGGTGATGGGACTGAAAGATATGAGCTTCTTAGAGGGTTCTTTTTTGTTTTTGTTATTTTTGAAATCTGATTTATTGCGTTATAATTTACATAGTGAAATTCACCCTTTTTTGTGTGTTTGGCTGTATGAGTTTTGGTAAACACATGCAAGCATACAGTTACCACCACAATCAAAATATAGAACATTTCTCTCATCCCGGAAAATTCCCTTCTGTCCCTTTGTAATCAACCTCTTTCTCCATACTGGCAACATCCCCTTGTAGCCACTAATCTGTTTTTCTCTCCCTGTAGTTATCTTTTCCAGACAGAATATCATGTAAATGGAATAATATAATTGGTACATTTTAAGTCTGGCTTCTTTTATTTAGCATAAAGCATTTGATGTCCATCCACGTTGTTGTGTCATCGTTTGTGTTCCAACATACAACGTGTCACAGTTTCTTTTCCCATTTGCCAAATGAGGACATTTGGGTTGTTTCCTGTATGAATATTCACATATGAACATATATTTTTATTTCCCTTGAGTAAATATCATGAGTTTGATTTCTGGATCCTATGGTGAAGATTTGTTTGAATAAGAAACTACTCAACTGTTTTGCAAAGGATGTGTATCATCTTGCATTCCTGCCAGTAATATATGAGTTGTAGTTTCTGCATTCTCACCAACCTTTGGTATTGTCAGTGCTTTTCAGTTTAGCCATTGTAACTGTTGTGTAGTGGTATATCATTGTGGCTGTAATTGCATTTCTTCAATGACTAATAATATTGAGTATCTTTTCATCTACTTATTTGCCATCCACAATTGTCTCTTCAAATCTTTTAACCATTTTTAATTCAATTATTTACTTTCTTACTATTGATTTTTCAGAGATTTTAAAATATGGTCTCATTAATTCTTAAGAAAAATTTTATATATGGATATACAAATCTTTTGTCAGGTATATGTGTTACATATACTTTCTTTCATTTTATGCCTTGTCTTTTCGTGCTCTCTCAAAGAGCAGAAGTTTTATATTTTGATGTTTAGATTATCAGGTTTTAAAATTCTATGGATCATACTTTTTTGTGTCATAACAAAGACGCATTTACGTAAGTTCACAAAGATTTTCTCCTTTGTTCTTCTCTAGAAGCTTTATAGTCTTCGGTTTTACGTGAGGTCTATGATCCTATTCAAGTTAATTTTTGTATATTATTCAAGGTACAGTTCAAGGTTCATGTTATTGTCAGGTGGATGTCTGGTTATTCTAGTACCTTTTATTATTGAGATATAATTATACTGTAAAATTCACCTTCTTAAAATAATACAATTCAGTGTTTTTTAGCGTATTCACAAGACTGTGCAAATGTCACCACTATCTAATTCTAGAATCTTTCTATCACTCCAGAACGAAGTCCAGTACCCATTAGCAGTCACTCTCTTTGCCCCTGCACCCAGCCCCTGGTATCTACTGTATTCTTTTGTATCTGGATTTATCTGTTCTGGGCATTTCATATCAACAGAATCAAACAGTATATAGCCTTTTGGGTGTGGCTTCTTTCACTAAGCATCATGCTTTCAAGGTTTATCCATATTGTAGCATATGTCAGTACTTCATTCTATTTTTAGTTGAATAATATTTGGTGTATGAATATACCACATTTTGTTTATCCATTCCTCAACTGAAAGACATTCAGGCTGTTTCCACTTTTTAGCTACTAAGAATAATGCAATGAATGTGCACAGTTTTTTGGTGAGCATATGTTTTTAATTTTCTTTGGTATATACCTAGGAGTGAAACTACTGGGTTGTGTGGTAAGTCTGTTTATCATTTTGAGAAACTACCAAACCTTCGTAAAGTGAGTACTATTTTATAAACCCACCTGCAGTGTATGAGGATTCCAATAGCTCCACATCCTCACTTATACTTGTTATTGTCTGCTTTAAAAAAAATATATCACCCAAACAGCAGTCACCATCCTCATAACTCAGTTTTGTTTCAGCAAAGCGTTAAAGGATGGCCATGATTCCAAGATTTTTCAAGACTGGGCTCCCTGATGCTTAAATGTGGATGTACTTGCTTTGAAACTAAAAATATTTTGGACCCACCTCAAAAGCTTTTGATACTTGTTCTTTTGTTTCAAATTCCACAAAACAAATTCCTTTAGATCTCCAGTAGACTTATAGTGTGGTCTACTTATATAAATAACATTGCCATATTTCCCAAATATGTTTCAGTCCAGCTTTGATTAACAGTTTTGGGAAGTAACTCCTATGATAAATTAGAAGCAATATTAAATACTTAAGAATTCTTTCTCACTAAGGTCAATAAATTTTTACTTGAATATTAAAAAAATAAAACTTTATTCTATCCATCTTAGAGGATGTGAAGTATCTCATTTTTTGTTTCTTAAATTGAGGTGAAATTCACATAATATAAAATCAATCATTTTAAAGGGAACTGTTCATGGCATTTAGTACATCCACAGTATTGTGCAACCACCACAACATTCTGTCTAGTTCCAAAATGTTTTCATCACCTGGAAACGAAACCACTCCTTTTAAGCAATCATATCTTATTCCTTCCTTCCTCCTGCCTCTGACAACCACCAATCTTCATTCTTACTCTAGATTTACCTATTCTGTGTTTTACATATAAATATATTCATGCAATATGTGATATTTTTTGTCTGGCTTCTTTCACTTAGCATAATGTCTTTTAGGTTCGTTCACATTGTTATAGGTATCAGTACTTCTTTTCTTTTAATGGCTGAGTAATATTTATTGTGTATATATAGAGTTGACTCTTTTTTTAAATTTTTAAATTTTTTTAACTAATTAATTTTTGTTACAGATGTTTCTCGTTTTCCCCCCACTGATTCCCCCTCCCTCCCCGCCCTGTCCCCAGCTTGTTGTCCATGTCCATTGTTCCCCTTCTTCTGGGGATTGTCAGTCTGTACCCCACTTCCACGTCTCTGGGACTACCCCGTTCCTCAGACAGTTGACTCTTGATTTTTTTTTTTTTCATCCTCACCTGAGGACATTTTTCCATTTTTTGTACAGATAGAGTGGGAGGGAGAGAGAGGAAGTGAGAGAGAGAGAGAGAAACATCGATGTGAAAGGGACACATCGAGTGGCTGCCACCTGCACGACCAACCAGGGCCGGGGACAAACTGCAACCGAGGTACATGCTCTTAGTGGGAACCGAACCCGGGTCTCTCTGGACCGCAGGCCAACGCTCTAACCGCTGAGCCAAACCGGCCAGGGCAGATAGTTGACTCTTGAACAACACGGGTTTGAACTGCATGGGTCCACTTAGACATGGATCTTTTTCATTAAATACCTGTACTGTTTTTGACCTATGGTTGGGAGTCCACAGATGTGGAGGGCCGACTGTGTGCATTGATCTAAGCCATTTAACACAGGGGACTTGAGCATCTGTGGAGTTTGGTATCCACAGGGGTCCTAGAACCAATTCCTTGTGAATACCAAGGGACAACTTAAGTTTGGGGGGAGTCAAAATTATACGTGGATTTTCAGCTACACAGGGGCAAGGGCGGTTTGTGCTTCTGCCTCCCACATGTATACCACAATTTATTTGTTCATCTGTTAGTGGACATTTGTGGTGTTCCACCTTTTAGCTGTGGTGATTAGTGCTGCTAT